GTTCCATAGACAATTTTACATCTCGTTCTCTTTCTTTTTTTTTACGAATCTAAGGCAGCAGAAGCCGAGAGTAGTATCTTTTTTTTCACGAACCCAAGGCAGCCGAAGACGAGAGTAGTACGGCTAGGCCAAGTAGACCAAGGTGTTTTCCTTCACCGGGGAGAAAACCAAAAAGAAAATATTCGACTACTAGTTTGTTGTTAGAGTTGGATGATCAGTACCCCCAATAGTGATGAGTATGTGTTATACCCTCCGTTGGCTGGGAAATTCCTCCTCTCTCTTGCTGCGAGAATGAGAACGTTTAAGTTCATGGTCAGAAATTTTTTTACTAATTGGTTTATGTGCCTATCACGTATGCATGTTGCGTCATTGACTGATTCAGTTAGATCATTGAAATACCTTAGCAAGGTCTTGACCAAGACTTGAAATACACCAGTAGCAGCAATTGTCCATCATACGGCGATACATTGCTCCTATTTGGATTTTACTATTATTATTATTATTAGTCAGTAATTTACCAAAACTTACGGTGCGCTGATGAGACCCAATAAAAGATGTCAATCGCGATCAGCGACAGGTAGTTTCAATAGATTAAATGTTCTCATTGCATAATTGGTTTACTTGTATATCACGTATGCAGGCTGCGTCGTCGATTCAATTAAATAGGTTGTAATCATAATTACTACAAGTATCGTGGTATACGTCATATTTTGTAGAATTCAAAAATTATCAGCAATGTCGAGTTGTCGCTTTGTCTAATTTTGGAAATACTTCAGTAGCAGAAAATACCCGCTAGATGGTGATACACTGTCCATAATTCTACCGTCATCTGTTAAAGATTATTTGACTGAACACACAGATTTAAACAAAAAGTTAATGGTGGACAGTATTCTGCTAAAGCCGTCAGACGGGGGTTGCCGTTTCAATCCCAATGGATATCATCAGCAGTTTCGACACTCTACTTGATACCTTAAGACAGCCTTTTATGAATTAGCCTGATGATATTCATTGAGATCGGTTTGGACAGAATACTGACCACCATGAACTTTTTGCGTTTTAAGTCAAATATACAATTAAAAACTAGTTTTATGTGAAGATATAACGATATAAATGAAAAATAATTAGTAAAAGTTATCTAAACAAAGTTTTATTCACTTTATTAAACGAAACTTCTTTATGAATAATCTAGGAAATATAAGTCTTAACATCACAAAAAATACCCAATGTCGATATGCAAATGATGTTTTTCGCATCTGAACGTGAGTCACGATTTTGATTTGCTTAATTTTCATCAGTACGCTAGTTTCAGCAAAATACCCAGTAAACTATCTATCTATAGTCATCTATTAATACCATACACTAAATTTAATCAATGACTTAATATAAAATTAAGTCCTTTCAATTTTTTTATGTATCTGTTGCCGTAAATGTATGAAATCCGTCATTGTATACAATTCCTAGGAAATGTATTTAATTATATTAGACATATTTCCTAGGAAATCTATACATTCTGACATGTTAGATATTAGAATAATGTGACGAGGTAATCTTTGCNTTTGTGTCAGCCCAATCACATATTGTGTCAATACTTATCATTTTATCGTAATTTAAAAACTTGGAAATTGCACGGTACACTATAGGAACTACGATAAATTTTCCCTAATCGACGCCATGTTTTTAGGCTCCTCCCATTTGACGGATCCCAATAAAGTTAAAAAAACGTTCACCACCGTCATCAGGTTATGACAACAAAGGAATGTAGCTGTTAGTTAGTAACAACTGTGGTAATATTATAATTTTACAATATTACAAGGAATTAATGCAATTGAACTAAATGAAATAGAGCAGCATAATAAAAGAAAACACTAATATTAGAGGAGCGTACAATAAATGAAATAGAGGTAACTGGGATGACATTGGAAGTGATTCAGAAGGTTCATCAACATCTAAGAGCCTTAAGAAACAAAAAATAATGTTTTACAGGAAGTACTTTAGGAATGAGTGAAAAATAAAATTTGGCACTTGGTTAACATCAATAGCAAACACCACCTTATTGTAGTTTGTAAAAAAAATATGAATGATGAAAATGCACATATGAAGAGACATGAACAAACTAAATTGCACAGACTGTTTTAAGAAACGAGTACAGTGGTAGAAAAACAAGTTTCTGTGACCGAAAATCCTAAAACGAAGCTTTAGAAGAATGTAAAGGAAGGAGAATCAAAATTGGTAACGTTTCTAGCTTTCTTACTAATCCATCTCTCAAAAATAATCCAGACTCAAAAATTGCCAAACCATATGAGATAATTGAGTTTTTCAGGTTTACTGGTTGTCAACTCCATTTATGTATTAATCTTTTTGAAAATTTAGAGTTAGGTAAGTATTGCCGATATAAATTAAAATTACATGTTATTTTCTCTGTATATATTTTGTTTAAATATAAAACGTAAATACGTTATTTTGAATTAGTAAATAAGTAATTTGTACAAAACGAAAAAGACGTAACTGCAGAAAAACATCATTCCTAAAGGCTTTATTGAAACAAACCGAATTGAATCGTCGGTTGGACGTCCACTTCCAGCATCTAAGACCTTTGAAGAAGACGCCACCCGTGCTAGCGAAACGTTAGGGAGAAACTCCAACCGACGACGACCTTTTGACCCTTAGTACATTGTACAAGTAATTAGTCTTACAATGACTAATGCTGCGCGTGCGCAATAGCGATTGATGCGTCCGTTTAAATGAACGTGATAATCTTCAAGATTCAGTATTTAGTCTCCGAGCATTACCAGTCACTGAATTTAGTACGACATTTTCCAATTTAGTATCAACTAGAGTAGACATCTAGTTTAAAAAAAATTAACCGCTGTCAACCCTGTTAGTTATGGTTAACCCGTTCACCTTACTTGACTACAATTAAAATGATATAACCTACAATACTACAGTGTAGGTTTTTCAGTATTACAACCGAGTTTAATGGGCTGTTGCTTTTACTTTTTGAATTTTTAATAACATACAACAAACGCAAACTCTCAATTATTTATTTTAGTACCCTCTGCAATATATTCTAGTATAATAGTAATCACTTTACGCATGTTATTCATACGTTTTTAATTTTAATAAAGGTTTTTTTATAGTTATAATTCTGATTTCATCAAATAAATACTTTCATTATCAGCACATACATACTAAACACATAAAATATTAATAAAAAAAAATCGCACGTGGATGTGAAAAGGCCCCGTTCCTACAATAAACTATACATACGTTTGAATATTTGAACTATTCACCTTATGTGCAAAGTGATTTTGATTTATGATGTCATAATTTCAATGAATTTTGCGTTGTGTGATTAATTAAAAAATCATTCATTTTCAATTCCTGTTTATTCTATTATATTCATATCACTCACTATATGCAGAATCAATCATCGATTAGACGTACACAATTAATTTTTTCTACAACCCATTTTCTAGTCATTTACTGTCATGTACCCTACTTTAATTTATATTGAATTGAAGAATACAGTTGAAAATGTTTAATATTTATTTTGAAATTATCAACCCAATTCGGCGTGAAAATGTCACAAGCTTTACAACTATTATATTTCATGAGTATTTTAATTTTTCAATTGATAGTTTTATAAAAGTACACAATGACAAATTAGTTGACGTTTATTTTAAATATTACGGTATAATCACAATCACGAATGGTTAAAATCTTAAAAAAAAAAAAAAACGAAAAACTATAAAAAGTAAATTAATTCTATTAGAAGCCTATAGAAAAGCAAATCCGATGTTCATAATTTAGCAGCCAATTAATAAACATAAACCCCAAGAAAATCTTTTTTTTTTAATTTCGTTTTCATTATACATATGTCACCAGAAATGTATGAAATCCGCCATCGTATACAATCCCTAGGAAATGTATATAAATCTTAAAATCGCCCGGAAACGTGTGAAATAAATTATATTAGACACATTTCCTAGGAAAACTATACATTTCCTAATGTATTACAGGTAATACTAAACAGGCAACAATAAGGCAGGCTGTTTGGGGATGTACCTATATCCATTGGTGACGTCATTATTTACTTAGGGAGATTTATGACAGACTGGAGTTTCATAAATGCCCCTATTGATATGTTAAATGTTAGAATAATGTAACGAGGTGATCTTTGTTTCAGCATGACCTTGAATTTTTAGCATTTTATAGAGGTGATAATGCTGATCATTTTCATATATATATATATATATATATATATATATATATGTTGCGCGCAGAGATCATAATGAAGCATACTTTTCGAAGAGATTATTCCAAAATATCAGTCCGCCTCCGGCGGGCAGGGGCATTACAAAAACTCCAATCTATCATAAATCTACCTAATAACTATACAATAACGTCACTAATGTATCTCCAAACCTAACCTAACCAAACAATAACGTTACCAATGCATATACATCAGGCGGTCGCACTAGAACCGCGTAAACACAGATAACTCTGATTCTCACTTTACTAACGTGTTTTATTCATTTTATTCGCAGAAAGCATTAGTTTTATACTTTTACAAGGACAATATCGGAATTTCATACAATCCCTAGGAAATGTATACGCATTTCTTTGAAACAATATTTTATAGATTTGCTATGTAGCCTGGAAATTGTATACGTTTCCTAGGAATTGTATATTTCATACATTTCCGGTAACATAACCACAAATTTTTGTCAAAAATCTATTTAAAAAAAGAAACCATGAAGAAGGTATTTTACATTTCCTTCTTTTCCATGACATATTCACTCACTATTCAAATGTCCTTTACATTTAAATTTCTGTTCTTTACTTGCAGTGGGGTAGTTATAGAATATTTACATTTTCATATTTCACAAACAACCCTATTTGAAACTTCATATTAAAGGATCAGCTATCTCTCATTTAATTATATATCGTAATCTTCTGTTTCAATGTGTTAATAACAATGTACGTTCTATCGATTTCAGACGCCCAGCTTCGTCATTTTCCTTTTTGAGATCTCCCCTGTACGCAATTAAGCAACTACTCTGCAGAGAATACAGAGCGAAATGCTTTTGTTTTGGACTCACATTGTTTTCGATTTTCTTTATTATTTTATTTATTTACGCACTTCCCAGAGCGGTGATGGAACGTATTATATTAGGGAGACATTAAGTCATTATTTGTTTCTATTTTAATCTATTTATTACAAAATTTGTATACACTATTTTCTTAGTTTTAAATACATAATTATCATTATTAAACTTTTTTCAAAACAATTGCTTCGTTTTATTTGATTTAACACATCTATGTAGGTTTATCATAAGTATATGTAGGTGAAATATATATTTATATACACATAGATTGTCAAAATGTTCTTTTTTTATAGGTTACGCAATACGACCCAATAATTTTGTAGACCACCTTATTATTTTATCAAAAAATTGTTACTTAGTCAGTCAGTCAATTTTTGTTATAATTTTTCTTATTGAATTATAAAATAATTAAAGTAAAATGCACAGTATTGATTGTAGTTTTTTAATTCATCATTAAATTGATGTGGTTTTTTGATTTCGAGATTGAAAATGGTCCATTTCTCAGAGTTTTGACAGATGAAATGGTTGTGGGATGTCAGAATGAAGTCACTTACAGAGTTTCAGACAAGTGTTAATTATATGAAAAATGTAATTAGTTTTAAATAAACAAATATATTCAATGAATAATATAATAACTGACGCTAAATCTTCACCTTGACCTTGATAACAAACTTTAAAAATTATCACAAACAGACTTTAATAATTATAATAGTATTATATGGGGGGGGGCGCCCTACAGCTTGATAATCGCTGCTATAAATTAAGATAATAATGTGATTTGACATAATATGAACTATCATTACAATATTTCCATGAGACATATATTTGTGCAACAAACCACATTACTGGATCTTCAAAGCAAATTAGGCAAAATAGTACTATTAAGAATAAGTACGTATGCCAGAATCAATACATCAATTCCCACCTGGTATGCTCACAGACACGCACTCGGTCGATGGTCAACAACCTTCTTAGCGATGCTGAAGGTATGAATTGTTCGGGAATGACATATCTGTACATATGTGTTTACTCTTAAGAAGAAGGACAATAAATACTAGTTTAAGTGTTTAGATAGTGCTATTGTGTAAATAAATAACTTTACTATAAATACCCGTTTAAATAAAGAAATACAAAAAATTGGTTACAATTGATGTCAGATTGTGGAATTGAAGATATTAAAGAACTTTCTATTAAAAACGGCAAGATGCAAAATGTGAAGTCCAGGTATGAGAAGAAGACATAACTGTTAGTAAATTTACACTACAGAAACAACTCGCCGATGCTTTGAGGGTAACTGGCATTAATCCTGAGATACATGTGTTTAAAAAATAAATAGCAATTCTAAAGCATTAGAAAGATTTGAAGAAAAGCTTAAGGAAAATGGAATTGGATGGAAAATTAAGTAAAAATTCACCGAAGCTGGGTATGAAGTCATCATGAACTACTGTCTTCACCCAATACGAAGCAACCGCAAAGTCTAGTATGGGCATCGAAGGAGAAAGCCGCTGCACTTATCTGCGTCTTACGTGATAGTGCTGAGGAAATTGTAATTGTATGTACCCTACGATCAAGCTAAACATTTGGCAGACCATCAACATTTAATGTTAAAAATGCAATACGACCAGATTTATTTGACAATCATCTGCAACTAAGAAATTGACGCCAAAAGTCATTACGAAGCTTGCAATAATGTGAGGCGTATATTGCAATATTCACGTATCTCAATACTCCAGTGGACGCCGTGGACTCTTTCATCAATGGATTGAGGAATTACTGCATATATGTAACAGCAACTTCGGCCAGACAGGCAGCACATTATCTCGAACACTGAAATGTGGGGTCGCAGGCAGGCTTCCGTGAGGCGAGACGAAATCAGCGAGATACATGAGGGACTGGATGGACTAAATTACGAATAGAATAGCTGGAATAGATTTTTCGCCGAAATCAGTAAAGGGTGACAACTGTGAGAATTCGGGCCATGCAAGAAGCGCTTACAGAAAAAAGAAGCTACTGTTGAGCGCGTGCCCTGCACACGGGAGCATGATTTTAACGAAGAACTAGCAAAAAATGGTTGTAAGCACGCCAAAACTTCGCCTCTAAGGTCATGTTCTGAAAATCACAGGCTCGGTAAACATGTTGGAAAACGTGAGGTAGTGGTTGGAAGGATAACAATGACGGTTGAGTAGTGGCAGACTGACAACATCAAGGCAAAAATGAAAACATGAAGGAAAACGACCGGTTTAACAAGAAATTGTTGCTGAATCTATAGAAATAAAATTGTTATAGATTCGGAGTACCAATGGAGCTCCATTCTAGCAATGGCCGAAACTTTGTATCCGCCGTGTATTTCAGGACATTTGTACGACATTTACCATTCATAAAGCCTGGACTTCATCTTCACCACCATTCAGAGACATTGGGATCGTGAAAGACTCCAGGGTCTATTTGCTGTCCCGAAAGTATACTCGTTGGCTCATTGTCTAAGCCGTCTAAGCCTTATGAGCCACAGGATAGTTGTGTTCTTTAAAAAGAAGTCTGGCCTGCTATAGGAGCCGACACTCCAACTCAAAGATGGAAGAAATATGCTAAATTTACCGGATAAGTTAGAAGGTGGTACAAACCATATTAGAGGTTTTGTTCCGATACACATGCAACTGTGGATTCCTACATCCACATAACGTCTAGACGCAAATAGACTTAAAGCTACAAGAGATGCTCCTTCGAAGGTAGGAACGATCATCGCTGAGAAGTGGGCAATATTACCTACAAGCAGGTATGCAAGAATAAATACATTGTTTGATGAACATAAACCCTTTTAGAAAAGCCGACGAATGTACTAAATTATTCAGGAATTATATATTTGCTCGTAAAACTTTTCCAAAAAATTCGCTATTATAAATAGGCTTCTGGGTGACAGCCGAAATTAGTAAGTAGATAAATAAGTAAATACAGTGTGATATAAATAAGTAGTAGTTAATGTTATAAATGTCGTAATGTGTGTTGAAGTTGCTTAATAATATTTTACTAGCAGGAGTGGCGAGCTTCTTCAGAGATTCTTCCATCTCCGATGTTGAAACCCTTGATGCGGACTGGCGATTTCCCCTACACAAGTTGCAGTTATGCTGGCAGGTAGGGGGCGGGACTTGATCCGGATCAGTAAATCGTGACATGACGATAGATGTCATTCGAGTATTCCTGAGGATCGGGTTCCAGATCTAGTTCAGTTTGAGGGTCTCTTCTTTCTTTATGAAATTCTGCGGGTGTTTTCAGATCAATTTGCAGTTCTCAAGGAGTATTTTGTGATCGCCGTTGCTCAGTGCATGCTCGGCCACAGCCGAGTATTCAGTGTGTCCTAGTCGGCAGTTTGCTTTGTGCTCCTTGAGTCTCGCTCCCATTGATCACTTAATGGTTCCCATATAGAATTCAAAAGCTATATGATATGAGTTCGGTTTGCCCGGTTGAAGCCCTTTGCTTTGCGAGCTGTGGTCAATTTACCTTGAATACCATCCCAAGTTAATTTCCATGTCAAGTAGTATTCTCTATTTACCTATATTCTGGAACTTCTGTGTGCATTATCATTGGTATTCTTGTATATGTGATGTTATGCTTATTATTATGGTCAAAAAACTAATTCTGTTCCGATAGTTCCTCAATAAGGTCATCGTTTTCAGTGTAGTTTCTCTCCGCACATATTACTACAAGTTTTATTTTTATTACTTCCGCAGTATAGTTTTTATTTATAGCTTATTCTATTAATTTACTCAATCTTTCTGTGGATTCTTTGATGTTTGTTTGCATCAGTACATTTCCATTATTAAGTTCTTTTAATTTAATAATCCGTCACAGTATATCGCTTTTTCGTCTTCATCTACGTTTTTATTACACTTCCAGCAGGGCTGTGTGAGTACGTCACCACCTTCTTCCCACGATATTAATAAATCAATTTTATTTATTCCATATTTTATGTGATAGAAATTATTGTCTTTTTGATTTCAACGGTATTCCCTAAAATATATTAAATGAAGAAGGTTAGTGATTCACACGGCCTAGCTAGATATACACGCTTAGTAAAACAAAAAACTACAAAAGTTTCAGATACCACATCAAATACAGTAACAGTTGAAGAAGGAAAAGAATTAAATCAAATTCAACCGCTTAAGATCGTTCAATGATGTTGAGTTAATGTGTTTTTAAAATCGAATTTAAGGGATACAACCTTTATTTGTAACGGATTAATTTACAGTGATTTTAAGTGGATATAGCAACAAATTCAAGAGTTGTTACGGCAAATAATTCAAGACAAATTGAGGGTAAAAACGTATACTGTGTTTCACATTTTCAAAGACAGTTTTTATATTGATATCCATCATTCTATGCACTATTTTAACAAACTTCTACAAAAATACTAATTGTCGTCTTCCTATTTATCTTCTATTTACTATATTTATTGGAAAACCATAGTTAAAATATTGATATCATTATTTAAATAATTAACCCGAATAATTGAGCATACTAAATGGCACTACTGTCATGCACATAGCGAATACTGGCTTGGCTGCAACACTGTTAGTCATCTAAAATCGTTGCTTTGTTGCAAGCAAATGTTTGTGTTTAGTGGAGCAGGCACAGAGGTTCTCAGATCCAATTTTGTCAGCGTAGAGTGTGGTGTAATATTATATTAATAAGTTTTAATAACTACATTAAAAAACTACATAAATATCTATTTTCTTTCTATTCTGCACCTCTGCCACGCCTTTACAAACCCGCATTTACACGTAGATATATTGCAAAAAACTATTATCCCATAAGATTGCTTATTACCTTATTTATGTAAAATGAAACAGTTATTGTTAATTTCAGACTACCGTTGGTATTCTTTTATTGCACATGTTTACTACATTTGATTATTTAGTGAAACTAAAATACTAATTATTCTTAAAAACTTATAATTTTTTCGAATACGCTACTTTAAAAATGCATATGCAGTACTAAAATACATTTGAGTGTGAGCGAAAAGCAAATGGTGGCTGTCAAATAAGCATCCCTACGAAATATTATATTTTTCCTATGAAGGAATAATTATTATTAGTTTTTCGACCCTAAAATAATAATGCACTTATGGTATACTAAATGCACAACCAGTAAGGTAAATTAATTCATATAAAGTCGATCATTGTCATCGTTACTCTAATATTATTCTAAAACATATGAAACAATATTGAAAAGTTTATTCAAACCTTCTATTTTGGGTAATGACAGCATTTGAATGAAGTCGAAAATAGATACGTAATTACTGAAAACAGTTCTATCATTATGAATTTCTAAAAAGCAACTCCATAGTTTATATGAATTGCATGTAGCGTACTCCTCTTTTTGTTTCGCGTATCCACTTTATACGCATCAGTTTCGGTGAATGTGTAGGGAGAGGATTATTCGGTATATTCCAGGACGCCTCTTTTCTCATTCGTTGGCCGAACTTATTCCGCGAAAGTTCGAGTTACGTTAAAATCGTTCGCTGTTTTCGGTTGTTTTTACATAAGTAATCGTTATTAAGGGACTACAAAACAAAGGTAAGTTACATGTTTATGCGCATACTATACATAGATTTAATTCAAAAATTAATATTTAAGCAATACTTAATGAACTTGATATACTTTCGAATTTGGTTTTTATACACATAAACAAGACATTAGCAAAGAGTTAATAAAAAGAATAAAAAATATAAATTACAAATTTTTAGTCATCACAATTGACTTACGCTTCTATTTACAATTATTCTCTTAAACAAAAAATATTTCAATATTTAATATAAAGCCCTTTATTGTGAAATTTTAAGAAGGATATACTTACGTATTGCGTATAAACTCAGATATTGCTTTCTATACTTTATGAAAAAAAAAAGCCATTCTTTGTTCGCAAAGCTTTTCTTTCAACAAAGGTAATAACATTATGTATCGTTATTGTTTCCTTTCATGTTTCCGCAATAAGTGCGCTTTACACTACCCCTTAAACATGCATAAAGTAGGAGAAATATAAAACTTTCGGTTTGAGAAATTAGTATAAAATAGCCTTTATTTTTCGTAGCATTCACATTTCATGCGGCTGAAGTTTCTAGCGTTGTTCGAAAAAATTTAATTAAAAAAAGAACAGACGCGTCCATTAGTTGACGCAAATTACATCTAAAACAGACTCATTAAAGGTTTGTTCTAAGGTTTCTCCGACTATTACTTCATCCTTGCTTTAGTTTATACATATATACAAAGAAAATTCAATGCTATACAAAACAAAATAAATTGATTACTCAAAATAACTTTTGCCTGTTTTAAAACAATTCCCTTGTTGTATTCTAATTAATAACCAAAAATCGAATAAATAGAAAGTACCTTTGTAATTTTAATTTTAACAACAACAATAGTGACAATGGAAGGTACAAAACAACCAATAAACTGTCAATAACATTTTTATTAATTTAAACACAAAACAATAGCGTAATAGTTTTATTGTTATACAAAATGAAAATTGACTTTCCGCCATGAAAGAAACCAAATTATTTTTTGATACTGGTAATACGAATAAGTTGCATCGAAAATTGTGTACTAACAAGTATTAATAGTTTATGAATGCTCTTAAATAATGTTTTACATGAAATTGTGTGTTGTTTTTAAAGTTTTGTTTTTATTTTGTGACTTTTTAAGGGATTCCCGATAAATGTCCAAGCAATTCACAAAATCACGAATTCTCTAAAATTATTTGGGTAAGGACGTCATGCTAATAATTATTACGTTACGTACCACTTTTCTTTCGTTTATTAGTTGTCGATTCTATCAAATACACACTAATTTCACTTAAATTTGCCTGTTTCATGGAATAAGGAACAATCGCGCAGTTGTACTTCAATCACCATTTTACATATTTAGTTTTTTTTTGTAAGTCCACATTCCTATAAACAAAAATAAAGACATGACCACTCAATTCGTTTGTGTTGCCTTTTCCTACCACGTCATTATGATCTTAAGCAACCAAATAAAAACATTCTTTAGATAAGTTGGGTTAGGTTAGTGAATGTTGTCGTGGTCATGCTGTTAAAGAAACCTGTTTGATATTATATTTTATGTAATAATTGTAACTTTTTAAGCCTTGTCACAAACCTAGTATGTCTTTACAAATAAAAGGTCCAAACATTAATATCATAACCAGGAACGTCACTTAATTTCAGTAGTACATGCGCCGTAGAATAAAACATTCTTATCGATTTTAAGATATAATTTTTAGTTTAATATTTGGAATGGACATTTGAAATTCTGTAGTAAGATATACAAAACTTTGATCTAAAGCCAGACGAAGGCCATTTTTTAATGTTTTAATTTCTATTGAAAGTATGTGTCCTATAAAAAGCATCCACTTTAAGCACTTGTAAAAACTCCGGATTCCCCTTACGCTGCGTATCCCTTAGAAACTTGCACTACAGAAACCCTTTAAATTTTGTAGAGTTAGGATTTTTTTATATTTATAAGTATCTATTTATTTAGAATACTATGTTTTGTACTACAATTTTAAATTTCTGTTTGAGCAACAATAATTAACTTGTATTATTTATTATTTTGAAATTCTGTTAAGAATTTCACAGCCATCTTGGTAAAAAATTGAACGATTTTAGTTGCTTTCACAATAATTTAAAAATTAGAGATGGATATAGGGAACCACAGTACCATTCCAAAGAATATAAAATTCTGCATAGATCAATCGGAAGACATACAGGGTGTTCCATTAAAAAAAATGGACCTACGATTGTTTGAAGTTGACCAAATCCGTCATTAAAGATTTAACACCCTGTATATAATTAACCCACAATTGTACCTAACTTTTAGTTGCGCAATAATTTAGTTGCGATAATTCCAGGTATGGATTAGTGTACCCGCGTCCAATACAATTATTTTGCAATTAAATCGTTTCTGTTATCTATCTATGATTGCATCTAGTTACGCAATCGTCGTGTGATGCATATGACAGAATGTAAAGCGTCCAGCTTCTTTCTCAATTGCTATCTATACAACTGCATGTTTGATTGTGGTTTTCACATAATGACAGTAGATGCCGCATAGGTTAGAATTTATAGAACTTATTCTACTAATCCTATTAGATTACTTATTTACTAATCCGGTTAGATTACTTATTTACTAATCTTATTATCGGATTGGCATGAAGCTTGATGGGTAGATGTTTGTGCCCTTAGTTACTGTACATGTAGACTTTTCTTCTCAGATAAAAATGTTTAGACTCATTTCAAGCGGTTAGAGATATGCCTCTTTCGTTTACTTGGATGCGCCGTGAAAAAATTCCAATTTCAATCATATTTTATCTCATTCAAACTATTTCTGTTTTGCTCACACCTAGTGTGTATTATTTCTATTCGCGCCGCTTGCCTCAAGGTAACCACTCTATTTCTTTGAAATAAATTGTTTGATTCTCGTTTTATTATGTTCATTAGTATCGCGCGTGGTCGAAATTTGATCAATTTATTTTATCTAGTACGTATCAATAAAGAAAAACCAATAGCATCGACTGGAAGGCGGGCATTCTTCCACTGAACAACTGATGCATGTTCTGATATTCTTTAAATGAAGGTGTCATCAGTGTAATTACAAACTAATTTAAATCAAATTTTACCTAGTATGACATAGAACCTACCTTATTTCGAATCTCTTCTTTGAAATTTAGGCGCATAGTAAAAAGAAAGAGTACCAGAAGTTATATACCTATATAAAATTTTATTTAAACCATGGTGTGATGTGATTTCATGCTATTCAAGCCGTGAATAAAGGCTAGTTTAGTGATCATCATCATAAGATCGTCAGTCCTAAGATGGTTTGGATACGCACCTCCACTCCTTCCTATTCTGAGCTAATCTTTGCATTTCCCTAAAATTAGAACAACCCACATCCTTAACTATTTGCGAGCAGTAATCTAATCTGGGTCTACCTCTACCCCTCCTAACTCTCGTTTGTGCCTCTACTATGTCTCTGACTAGACCTTCATGCCTGAGAAGGTGTCCAACCAACCTATCTCGCCTATTTCTTATTGACTTCCATACAGTCCTCTATTCTCCTATTCTTTCTAATACCTCTTCATTTCTAACCTTCTCTATCAACGGTATCCTCATAATTCGCCGGTAACACCACATTTGGAAGGCTTATAATCTATTCCTTTCCATCGTCCATGTTTCACACACGTCTAGCGCCGCCCTCCAAACATACACCTTTAACAATCTCTTTCGAATTTCTACATTAATCGTTCGTGTGTATAGAAGTGACTTCTTTTTATTGAAGGCGACTCGACCCTGCGCTATTCTATGCTTTTTAATGATATAATTGAAAAATCACACAGAGATTTCTTAAACCTCCGTACAATTTGTGGAATCACCCCTCTCTATTAGATCTGTTTTCTTGTATATAAGCTAATAAACATTTCTTTGTTTGTTTCATTTTGCATGCATCATAAAGCTCACGACGTGACTAAGTCAGTAAAGTTCAGCTTTTCAGTAGACGATATTGCACCCCATGTAGGGTCAACAAAGCTTTCATAAAAAATCTATTGAAGATAGTAATACAACTTTATTCGATTTTACATAATAACTATCCGTCATTTGAAAGCATCTACCATATTGAATTGTAATTACAAAGAGCACATGATGCATTGTCATCTGATACGAACATTTTCTATTTATTTTAATTCTAATTTGTTAAAAAGAGATGCCACGTAGGAATTGCAAGGAAAATTAATAAAGAAAAAGGAATAACATTACACCAGTTAATGTATCACAGAAAGAGATGCAGACAAGCAAAATTTGAGCACTTTAAAGAAAGTTCAACATGATCCGGAATTTAGGAAAGTTATTACGCTTGTTTACAGATATAATTCCAGGCAGTTATAAAGCCGACCCTGATCTTTTGCCTACCTAAGTAGCATGTAACCCCTCACTGCTTAGTATTATTCGGTTATCTCTTTTCACTTTGTCTGTACTACTCATGAAGTATTTTCTAACTTAACAAGGTCGTATCCAAAACGCAGCAAATGACTACAATCGCAAGTGGAAACAAGAAAGAAGATACGTTCATTCTCACCGATTGCTTATTGCGGACTTTGCCAATTTTGATCGTCACATCTATATCAATTTTTCGCCATTCTTAATTTGAAGAAAGTCTCTTTTATGGTCATTCCTGAGCTGAAGAAGTGGAAAAGTTAGACTACACCCATCTTTCAAGGTCATTGTTCATCTGATTTTTACTTGGGTCAATAATTTATTGGGACTGTCTAACGAGCGCTAATAAAAACTAGCTGGAATTAAATGTAGAGGTAGCTAGATTAGATTACTGTTCGCAAATAGTGAAGGATCTGGGTTGTTCTAGTTTAAGGAAATGTGAAGATTAGCTTAGAATAGGAAAGAGTAGGAAGTCCGGGAGAGTTGAACCACTTTTAATATAAATATCATAATTACTTGTTTATTGGGTTTAGAGAATCGATTATACACTTATGCGATGCCTTACTTTAGTAGGTACATTTGTGCTTAATT